TTACCATAAAAAGTCTAAATAACAATATTAAAAGAATACTAGGAGCACATACAGGTAGAAGCATGAGTGCTTCCATACTTGAGCCTTGCAGCAAGACCAGTTATCCTTTATTTTTTCATCTGCTGAAAGTAAGGTACTTGATACTATGCACAGCTACAGCCAAACAAAGCATTTTCAGTAACACATGTGTTTTCATTAGTTTTGCAAGACTAGTCCTCAACTTTCATGTGGGCAAGAACACAATAAAGACAGTTCTGTAGCTCTAGTCAAAAGCATTTGCAAAAGTGAAGAAATAGGTACTGTGCAAACAGACATAGCTAAAATACTGTGTCAAACAGTTGTTTGAGTACTGTTTCACACAACTTCCCATCCCAACATAAACAATTAAAATCAGAGTTTGACTGGCACATTTCAGAGCATTGAGTAACAAAAGCAACCTAAAGCCTGTTTTCACTTGTGTTTATCCTATGATCTCTCTGCAAAAGAAGGCTGCAGCCTTTTTTAGTCCCAGCCATTGAAACACCATTTACTGTCCTCATCTGTAAATCCATGTGACCTTGGATACATAAAATGTTCCCAATGACTTGTAGGAGAGCCACTCAAGTTACATTGTGCAAGATTCATCATCCCTTTCTGTCCCAAGTCTAAGCAGCACAAACACGTTGCCATCCCCAGAATAGCAGTGCCTCTTGGCTTTGCTATTTGTCTCTGGGTTTGTGCAGCTCTATTCTTCATCCTGGAATAGGTGCCGGCAGGGAAGTGCCCAGGCAAGCTACAGCCAAAACTGATTCTGTTACAGACACATAATCCTCAGGGCCACACCCATTCCTACCAACTGTTCTCACTACTGATCGCAGCGTGCATTTAGCATTTTAATTTAAAGTAACTTTTTAAACATACTTAACTTGAAAAGTCAAGAACTGCCTGCAGCATCCCCCCTCTATGGCCAAAGTGCTAGTTTGGTCACATGGACACTGGTAGAAGAGGTGCTCCACTACACTTGCTCTCCCATTTCCAAACCAGGATTCAATAATCCAGGAAACAGGAGAGGTCATGCCAGCTGTTTAATTGTGGAAAAAAAGGAGCAGCATCAGGAGAGGACAACACAGATAATTTGGGATCCATCATCTGTTTTTAGGTCACTGGATTCCCACATACTGTTGCGGTCAAACTCCCTCTAGCTTGCACACAAAGCTGCTGTTGGCAGAAGCTCTTATCCCAGAGATAACAGCTCTACTTGGACCCAACTAACCCATCTAGCTCTGCCAAATGAGTCTCAAAATACATTCTCCACCATAGCTTCCTAGACTGACAGACTGCAAGCAGGTTTTTTTCTGGGGTTTCATTAATTCTCTGTTAGGAAACATAAGAAACTTAACTTTAACCTGGGGGTGGGCTGAAAACCCAAAATTTAAATTTGTCTAGCGAGACACAACAGCTTTTATACAGGTGCAATGACCTCTGGGCTGTGAAAGCAACAAATTGTGTATACTGCTGCTTATTTAAACAGATGGATAATATAAACTATTTAACATTTCCATGCAACAAAGAGTTAAAGTAGAGAATTTGATGACTAATACAGTGCATGGTGTTTCCATGTGTGGCCCCTGCTATGAGATGGGACACGCAGCATAGGATTATGTTCAAAATTGCAGCTTTTTCTCCTGATACCAGCAAAGTCATGCAGTGAGGACTCAAATAATTTTGGCAATCTCTTGGCAAGCAGAAGAAAGGAATACTCCTTAGCATAATTCAGACTCTTGAAGAAATCCAAATGCTTGCCAAGTCAAAAATGTCATAGAATCACAGAATTGTTTAGGTTGGAAAAGAGCCTTGAGATCATTTGAGTTCAACTGTTAACTCAGCACTGCCAAATCCAGCACTCATTTATGTCCCCAGGTGTCACATCCACACTTCTCTTTTAACTACTTCCAGGGATGGCAATTCCACCACTTCCCGGGGGTAGCCGGGTCCAATGCTTGACAATCCTTTCCAAGTACTCTCATCCTGCTGCTGGCTGCCCAGGACCCCACCTGGCTACAACCTCCTTTGAGGCAGTTGTAGAGTTGTAAAGTCACCCCTGAGCCTCCTTTTCTCCAGGCTGAACCCCCAGCTCCTTCAGCTGCTCCTCCAAGGACTGGTTCTCTACAGTCATGGATTCACCTGACACTGACATACATTCAGCAGCTACCTTTTAAGAGCAGACTTTCTGCAGTACACACACACACCCCAGACTCCTCCAGCCGCTCCAGAAAGCAGCATGCTAGTGCCTGGTTATCATTAACACAGCCTCTGAGTAATGCCACATGCTAACAGCCTGTCCTGCTGGTGACTCAGCCCGTGGCTGCAGAACGGGTGCAGGGCACAGATGAAGCCAGCATCAGAGTTCAGAAAACAAACAAGGCATCAAGTGCTGCAGGTTTGGCTTGGAGCCAGCAGCAGCACTCTGCCTTGCCACATGCGCACGTGTGTGTGTGTATTTTCTTCACCTTCTGCACTAGCTGTCCTTTTGAAGACATCTGAACTCGATTTGGTTTCTTGGTATGCACTAAGGCTATGTTAATCAGCAAGACAAAAACATGCTGCACAGGAGCCATTAATGGCTCTCTTCTTCAGATGTCCCTACAATGGCCTCATGGCAGTTTCTATGAATAATGAATAATCTTATTATCAGACAGAAGGAAGTAGAAGTCTAATCTCCACAAAGCCTCTTTATTTTTAATGGGCAATATGGCTCAGCCAAAGACAAAAAATGGGTGCAGAAACAGACAGGGCTCTGGAAACTCATTGACTAATTAATGGAAAACAAAGTAATCTCCAGTGAAACACTTCCTGTCATCTTAGAAGAGTTAAAGGCATTTGTACCCCTCTAGTTTAAGGATGCTACTAAGCAAAGCCATGTTTTGCAGTTACTACAGAACTGAGTGAACACAAGGACAGCTCTGAGCACAGCAAGTGTCTGAACCAGGACAGACACAAAGACAGGATTTATGGTATTCTGATGTAGCTTGCATAGGAAGGGTTTGATTTGCACTGACTTGCCACCTGCCCATGTGGGAGGTTGCCAAGAATCAAACTCATACACACAAAGCCCCAAGACAGCTAAGGTTCATAATTTCCTCTTCAAGAACTTTCCAGACAAGCTCTTTGCATGGATTCAAAAGAATATGCCACAGGCACTCCAGAAAGCCTTATTCAAGCCACATGAAGTTAGTAACTTCAAAATAAAGAACTCTTTACTTTCTTGCCAAAGGCTGAATTTTTTCCAAGCCCAGTAGGTTAACTAAACAAGGTCTTAAGTCCAGGCTGTTCAAGACATCTTCTGTCTTGTATGCATCTAGAGGGTTGTATTACCTAATGTGACCCATTACCTTCAATTAATGAGTTGAGAATTCTCCTGACCACCACCGTTTACCCAGGCTGCAGAAGAACATACCTTATACACATGGGACAGAGGTAAAAGCTCAGACAGCTTCAGATCCCTGACAGACAACTAAAATCCAGTCAGTATGAATTATAAACAACACATATTGCTACACACCTACCAAGGTTTTTCTTATCTCCAGGTTTGTCCTTCTGTGAGATTTAAGTGTCACATTATCACGTTGTTTAACAAAACCATGTGAGAAGATGTTGGATGAGAAGGGCCTGACTGAGCCCAGAGGGGCAAGTCAGTATTAGGGTGCACTCTGTATAGCAGTAATTGCTCCCCTGTACTACGGAAAGAGTGGGTTTGGTTTTGAAGCGCTATTATGAGTGGACCCATAAAATTTTGGAGATTACCAGTCATAATGAGCAAAAACACTTTAACAGCCAACAGGAAGTCAGACCACCATATTTGAGTCAAACCCAGGATATAATACTTTTATGAACTCTTTGTATTTACATTAGATAAGACTGGTAAGCAGGGAAGACAATCTGAACAGGTTTAGCCATAAAAAAACCTACATAACAGATCAAAACTGAACATCAAGCTTCTGAGATAGCTTTATTTTAAAATAAAGCTTAAAAACTACCTCAATCATATTGAAGAGCCACCTCTTCTGTGTGTAATTGTAGGGGTTTTTATTTAGTTTGAACAATTGGTTCACTCACAGTGGATGTTATACTCATGCCTTGAGAGAGTGAAAAAAATAAAATGCAACAAAGACAAAAAAAGAAAATTTAATCTGAGGTCTGTAAAAGTCATGGAATGTATATATTATGTTAGCAACTTATGTCCAGGACTAGAGTTTAATTTTCAACTACATTAACAACAAAATTCCATAAAGTTGTTAATGCCTTCTATGTTACCACTTAGCACGGGGAGAACAATAAAATCAGTCTTCCCTAAGAGTGAAGATTATTTGTCCTAGTTCACGGGAACAATTTCAACAAAAATATAGTAATCCCTAAATGAAGCACTTCTGAATTGATCTTATCACTAATATTTACTGTCCCCTTGCTTTCCTCACTCTTGCCCCTCTGTCCTTAAAAAATACAGAAAAATAAAAAGGAGTTTGAAAATTCAATTAAATTCAATTTGATCTGCTGTTTTGTGTTTATGGGCCCAGACATACCTGATCTGTGTTTAAGGGTCTTTGCTTTATTTTAAAATAGGCTTTGCACATCTCATTAGATCAGACATGTTTCATTATAGATTTTTATAAGGCTTATAAATTTAGAAGTATTATAATGTCATAAACCTTATACATTTTATAAGGTTTCTAATACTTTAAATGTAACTAAATTTAAGTAGCATCTTCTTTTCAAAACACACTTGTCACCGGGCTCATTTTAGACACGGCACACAAGCCAAGTACCATATTAAGTATTCTCAGGCATACTGAACATCATTCTACTTCTTGTCCCAGTATCACCACCCTTACAACTCCTACTGAGAAGTCTTTAACTGTACCAGACAAGCATCCTACAAAAGCCATATGCATAGCAGCCAAGTAAGTATTCAGTACTGGGTAGCTAACACATCTTTTGGAAATGGATGGAAAGAGCATACTTACTGCCACGAAGAGCATGCAGTACATGGAGAATGAAGAATGGCCAGAATAAAATGATAGTCTGGAAAAGAAAAGATCAGACATCATCAGTTTCCTTTTAGAACATTCAGTCTGCAGTGATACTAATGTATATTATACAAGTGAACTGGTAAAATGCAAACATGTCCATACTACTCTTCAAGGAGGCTCCCTAGGGACATCACACAGATTTTGACCAAGAGTACAGACTTCACTACTCAGCAGTTATCCTTTTCCAGAGTTAAGTTGATCTCTACATCAGGCAGTAAGTACTAGACTTTTGACTGAAGTTTGAACAGCAAGGGAACACATCTTAAAGACAAGTGTCCCTTAACAGTTCATCTTGACAAATGCCAGAATACTTTAAATGTATTTACTTCTTAAAAGTCCCTTATAGTCACGGTATATGTATGAATCCAAATTACATTAATCACCCCAAAACAATCACTTGCATTTAGTCACCATCAAGAGGCAGTAGTTAACAAATAATATGTAGTAGTTTATATTACATTTGTACACCTTTGTGAAATGTATGATTCACACAGACCCTGATTATTTATTATTGAAAGGTAGGGGGAAAGGCAGGAATGCAGTTTACTAGCCAGTCAACTGCAAAAGATGACACTCCATCTAATTTGTAGAAGTGATTTGTACTTGGTGATCTCATTGAGAGTGTCAACATTGCCTTCAGCTCCCAAAGACTTGACAACTGACACTGGCAGTCCAGGATTCCTCTGGCCAGGTCCTCCCCTGCACAGCTGGTTTTGTGAGGAGCCACAGATGTAAAATAAAGGTCATCCACCTCCTCTTCAAGAAAATAACGCAAAATGTAAAGACAATTTTGTCTTAGCAGGGAGATGAAAGAACTGTACTTGGCACTACTTTTTTCCATTTTATGCACAGAGCCTTGTAACAGTGCTGCTCCAAAGGCCACCAGCCAGGTTTCAGCCAGGCTTCTGTGCAATTTAACAACCACAGCACTCCCCCCTCAGCAGTTTGGCATACAAAAACATGCCCAGCTTAATGAAGTTTCAAAGCTCTGCAGTCAGACCTCTACCATATTCCATCAGGTCCCTTGTTTTGGGATGCCTCTGCCAGGCAGAGACCCTGTGGCCAGGGAAACTCTTAGTCAAAGGAAACATTTCCACTCTTTGGACTAGGAGAAACAAAGGCAGCTCTGACATGCAGCAAGATAATGAGGTTAAAGATGCCCTGCTCAAATACCACAAAGGCGGCAATGAAACTGTCTTGTGCACAAGTGAAACTGCAAAACTTCCTGAATTATTTGGCATGTGTAACATTTAGAAACTGCATCAGAAGAAGTCTACACAGGTTTATTCCAGAGGTTTTAGAGCTTTTTGTTTACGGTTGATTTAAAATACTGGCAGCAACAGCTTTTGATTTCAGAGGTACTAAATAAGCAGTCTGAAATAAGATGACTTTTGTTTCACCAACTGGTATTTTCCAATTAGCTTCTTAAAAAGAAAAACTTTGACAATGTACTAGCTTCAGATGTTTAAAGTTCAAAAATTAAGACTACACTGTAGCTAGACATCCCTTTTCCACTCTTGTACTCAAACACTTAATATTTCTGGGCAAGAGTCCACTATGAAAACCAACATGACAAACATTGTGAAGAGTCCTGTCCTTCAAACATGTCATCTGAGAATGCAAAGCATGCTGTTCTACAGGAGATACAGAATAAGGAATTATTGGCTCCTGTGATAGTACTTTATCCAATAGCTCTGGGGGTATTCCTCTTGGCCATAAGATGGTATTTTCTACAACTATTGAAAGCAACCTGTGGCCAGCTAAAGGAATTTAGAAGACTAGTAAATGATAAAAGGAAAAAATACCATTCCCTAAATTTATTTTGGAATTCCTGTACCCTTTTAAGTGTGTTCTTGACTACTGTATTTTTTGGTTTTGGAATTTATTAGCCTAAGGTACATGAAGAATACCTTGTCCCAAGTTGAATATTACAAACTTTGAATGCATTTCTTATCAGGCATAGATAAGTATGCTGTACATGACTGAAAATATTGTGCTTAGCACATGAAGTATTGCCAGAAATACAACTGGGACAAAGTACTGATCCAACCTGCACATAGTGCAATCCCAAAGAAGTGAAACTTCTTTGGCAATACTGCTGTCTCTAGACTTCTTTAAGAAAAAGACATTTTTAAAAGATCTTAAAATCCTTTCAAAACACTAAGATTGACAACGAAAAATTTCCCAACAATTCATCAGCATATAAATAATGTCTTCCCAAAGCCAGGAGAATGTCGTGCCTATCAGACCAGCCAAGCACTTGGCTTCTTTGTGATCCTACTGCAAGTGCTGGTTTGCCATGAGCCAGCAATAAAACAGTAGAGACAACTCTCCAATCCCTACCTTTCACCAGTGAAAGAAAGGCTAACTTAGCCCAATAGAATTCACACATCAGATTCCAAAATATCCTTTTCAAAATAGTCTTAGAACAATATCCGGTGAAATTGAAGTATCATGAAATAGAGCTGGCAAGTGCAGTCTTGATCTGATTGTTTCTGAAACGGCCAATTCTGACATCAAAAAAACAGTTTTTCAGAATCTTTCACTCCATCAATACCTACCCCACAGATCTCTTCCTATGTCAGAAATATGGCTTCATTTTAACAGGAAAAAAGCATAAGCTTTAATTACTTCCACTTGGACAACACATTATTCCCAAGTTAGAAGAATGCCTTAAGTAGTATCATAAAACCAGTTTCAGGTCTCAGTTGAGGTTTAAAGTATACTCCTAGTTTCCAATGTACACAGTAGAGCTGGACATCATAAAAAGGTCTTAAAAGAAGGTATTTTAAGGGCTGTTTTGCTTTCTTGAAACTTAGCTTCGTCATGAATTTCACATGGTTTCCAATAAAGACAAAGACAGTAAAAAAGTAATGACACAAGTAAAGACACAGTAGCTCTTAAAAGGTTGCCATAAGATTGACTACAATTTATCACTATGGTTCATTACTGAATGTCTGCATTTTTAAAGAATACCTGGAAAAATAATCAAAATGCAAACAATTCCTACAAGAAGCATATCAGCTGAATGACTTTGTTATTTTAGGCAGGATTTCTAAGCCCAGATAAGCAAGACTAAGAGAGATTGCCTTGGAGGACTTGACACTGACAACCTTCTATTACTTTCCATGCACAAGGCCAGCTTAGCCCAGGGAGCAGAGCCAGCCTGACAGGTTATGTTTCTTCAATTAGTAGAAAAATTGAACACAGTACACAGCACATAAAAGGATCATTTTTCTTGGACTGTGACTTACAAGAAAATGCATGGTTTAAGTAGTAAGTTCTGCTTGGCATTATTTTGTTAAGTACATGACTTGTTAAGGTAATTACTGACACTGGAACTCAGTAAACAAGCTGATGTTTTATTTAATATTTTCACATGAACGCCTGAATGTGCAGAAACTTTAAGACAAATGCAGGAATCTGTCAGGGAAATTAACAGCCTGAGAACAGCTAGAGAACAGTTTAACACATTTGCTACAGTGGAGCATTAAATGGTGAGAAATTAAAGTAAATGACAGTAGAAAGATATTCCACAAGAAAGGGCATCTTGTGGTGCTTCAATAGACCTGTCAGAGGCTGATAAGGAAATCTTCCCAACGTAACTACAGAATTATGAAACGATCCCTTAGAGAAAAACAGAAGGCTCAGCAAAACATTATGCACACTCCCATGTCAAAGCAAATAAATACACCCAGCTGGATTAGCCAGCATGTCCTTTCCATCTTCAAGTTCCCTGGATTCTCCCAGTCTGACTCAAAGCTTCCACTGACATTTGTGTTACCCATTCCATGATCTGGAAGGGAATAAATGCCAGAGTGCTGAAGCTCAGCATGCCTGTGTTGAGTAAGCCAATGCTTGTGACACATGCTTGTCAGTGAAATATTTCTAGTATTTCAGTGCCATAGTTTAAAGTTCTAATTCTACACTTAAATACCACATTCTTTAAAGTCAATTTTCTCTGTATTCAACAATCAACTTGTTCTCCCAAGATTCACTCTTTCCTCATGTGCTGGACTTGCACTACTACAGCTTACAAGATCAGTGGGAGCAGCAAGTTTTGAGGACTCCGAAATTAAGCCCTTTTGTCATTACTGTAAAGAAAAGTTGAAATAAATACAAAAGCAGTTCATCTACTGAACAAAATCAAGAACTACTCAGAACCCCATGTTCCTAATTTCTCCACTTTTTTCCTTGTCTGACTGACAGTAATTATACCCACACTTTAGTACAAAGCCACACATTTACACAGGAAAATGCTGCTAGAGTCTTTCCAATTCAGCGGTCTCCTCTGGAATATTTCATTGACAATTTTTTCAACAGGAGACCTAACATTTACTAGCAAGCATCTTGCACAATTCCATAACCATATCTGGGTGAAGGGTGGTTCCACTCAGCTCTGCTTTATGCAGCAGTAGACAGTGAGGAAGCTGCCAATGTAATGCAATGACATGTAATACACATGATTTGATACTGTCACCATGTTTTTGCAGACCTTCCACTTTTTTCCTTTTGCAGTCTATCACACACAATTAAATTTCCCTGCTTATCCTACTGACATAAACCCAATCCAACAGGTTCTAAGAAGAGATAGGTATTTACCTATTTCTAATCACCTTCCTAACCACCAGCCTTTGAAACAAAGACTGCTGATTGTGCAAGAAACAGGAGTATAAAGTAACTTTTCCTCAAGCTCAGCATCAACATGAAGTAGTTTTAATCAGCAGTAGAGTACTGCAAGGGTTGTCTTAAGTGCTAGATTGACCAGATTCTGAAGCTGGTTAAAAGCAGGATTTTATGGGGGTTTGTTTCTTTACTCTCTGGGAACTGAAGAAATTAACTGATGGTACATTCAGGCGTGCAGATATTCTGTAAATTTTATTTGAACAGAAGTACTACACACTGATGGAACAACCTAACAGAGCAATGACTACCTAAACTAGCTATTTCACATCTGACAGCAGAAGTTTATATCAACAGCTACCAGGGAAA